GAAATGAACTTGCCCAAACTTGGAGCTCTTTCTTGAAAACGTGGGTTTACTCCTTAATTCCAAAGGGAAAGCATGACACTGTGACAATGGAGAAACTTGGCCGTCTCCTCCTTAATCAAGGGCTTGAAGTCATGCGGGTCGTGAGAAGGGAACCCCCCCTCCGCCACGCACCGCTGCTATGGTCTTTCCTGCCCCAAATGCATAACCAGAATCTCACCAAGAGGGAAATGAGCATCTCATCAGAAAACCCCAGGCCGGGGCGGGGTGGGGAGGGTATGGGGGGAGGCGGCTGGCTCCGTGCATTTAAAATCAATGTGACAAATGACAAAAGGGCTGAGGAGTGGTTCCAGATGGAAGAGTCTAGAAGGAAGAGACCATGAGAACTAAAGGTCATGTGGGATCGTGGGCCAAGGGATCAAGGCCAAAATGGGAAAGAAGACCTTGCCAAAAGGCAATCACTGGGAGATTAGTAAAATTTTTAAAAATGGACTGTATGTCCGATGATAGTATTTTGCCAACAGTAAGGTTTCAGAATTTGATGACTGTGTTGCAGATACAGAAGATGACATCCACACACGATAAAGTATTTAGAGTAGAGGGTCCTGGTGACCTGCAATTGACTCTCCAATGACTTGGCAAAAATAATGATAATTATAGGGCGCCTGGGTGGCTCAGTGGGTTAAGCCTCTGCCTTTGGCTCAGGTCATGATCTCAGGGTCCTGGGATCAAGCCCTGCATCGGGCTCTCTGCTCAGTGGGGAGCCTGCTTCCCTATCCCCTCTCTCTGCCTGCCTCTCTGCCTACTTGTGATCTCTGTCAAATAAATAAGTAAAATCTTAAAAATAAATTAATTAATTAAATAAAAAGAGCAAGAAGAAAAAAAGGAGGGGAAAAAAGAGAAGAAAAATACACTCTAAGGGGAAAAAAAGGAGCATCGGGGGCACATAGCTGGCTCAGTCGCTGGAGAGCATGACTCCTGATCTCAGGGTCATGGGTTTGAGCCCCATGCTGGGTGTAGAGATTACTTAAAAAGAAAACTGTTAAAAAAATTCCTTTAAAAAATTATATAAATAAGTAAAAAAAGGAACATCAGTCCCATCCTCAGCAGCATCTCCCTGCTACTAGAAGTGTCACACACACAGAGTACAGGGGAGCTGAGGTGGGACACGGCTACAGTGAGACATGCATGCCAGCAACCCGCACATCCCGGTGGGCACCACGTTTTGGCTTTGGAATACTGGAGACATAGCAGTAAATCAGTAACACCGCCGTTGCTCAAAACATTTGACCCAACTCAGCAACCACACAGGAAAATGAGTTGTGCTGCATTGTAATCACACCTCGCTCTTGACCCAACCCAGTCTCATCCACCTAATTTGCCATCTTTACTTCTGAGAGGATCATAAACTATTTGGAACCGGCAACAGCCTTTGAGAATGCATGCCTGATCCCTGTCACAAATGAGGGAAACTGAGGCTCAGACAGGAACCAAGGTCACGGCTAATCCCACTGACTCCTCCCAGGCCAGTGCGCCTTTCAAGGTTCTGTCCAGGAACCCTGGAGTATCTTCCAGGCCTGCTGGCTCTTTGCAAAAAATTCAAGACAGGGAGGTCTATGTTTTCCCAAGGGAAAAAAAATTTTCTTTTAATGTATAGGTGACATTGAGAGCCATTTCAAAAGAAAGGAAACAAAATATTCTTAACAGAATCTTCATAGCAGCACCTCCCAAACATAAGTGTTTGTTTAAAACAAAAACTGTTGTATGGGGGGGCCTGGATGGCTCAGTGGGTTAAGCATCTGCCTTCGGCTCAGACCATGATCTCAGGGTCCTGGGATCGAGCCCCGCATCGGGCTCTCTGCCCAGCGGGGAGCCTGCTTCTCCCTCTGTCTCTGCCTGCCTCTCTGCCTACTTGTGATCTCTCTCTGTCAAATAAATAAATAAAATCTTTAAAAAAAAAAAGACTGTCGTATTACTTTATGATCACACCTTAAATACATCCCACGTCATGGGGGCTATTTTAAGAAATCTCAATATACAGGGCACCTGGGTGGCTCAGTTGGTTAAGCATCTTCCTTCAGCTCAGACCATGATCCCAAGGTCCTGGAATGGAACCTGGGATCAGCAGGGAGTCTGCTTTTCCTTCAGCTCAGGAGGCTGAGCCCTTCATCTGCAACACCTAGACTCATTTGCCCTCCAGGGAGAGGCACCAGCAGGAGGACAGATCGCTTCCTCCTGTTTCCCATGGCTGGCAGTTTCTGGTAGGTGCTATGGTCCTTCGAGGCTGTAGGTGCTATGGTCCTTCGAGGCTGTAGCTCCTGCCGGCGCTCCCTCCTCTGCCCCCGGCTCACACTGGATGCCAGGAACACCATTTCCTCCCCCAGGCCCCTCCAGGCCTCTTCAGGCCCCTGGGTGGTACCAGCTTCCTGCTGTCCCCGTTGCCATCCCCTTCTACCTCCAGCCCAGCACTGGCTCCGCTGTCCCTGCCCATTCCTCCTCGAACAGTACCTTTTCAAAGCCTCTGTGCTTCAGCTATCTTCCCGTGGAATTTTGTTTCCTCTAGGGACCCAACAGATTTAGAAATGAGTTTGTGTGAATGAAAAATATTTACTGCCATTTGTGAGCATGTGGTGCCTTTCAAAGTCACTCCACTTGCTTTTTAAAAAAATATTTTATTTATTTATTTGAGAGAGAGTGAGTGAGAGAGAGCATGAGAGGGCAGAAGGTCAGAGGGAGAAGCAGACTCCCCATGGAGCCTGGACTCTGATGTGGGGCTCGATCCTGGGACTCCAGGATCATGACCTGAGCCGAAAGCAGTCGCCCAACCAACTGAGCCTCCCAGGCGCCCAGTCACTCCACTTTTGGAATGTCCCCTGAACCACACGACCTCCCACACACAATCATGCTACCAAAAGCAAGGTACAAGGCTGGGGGAGCCCAGCCCAGCCCTTTCCCGGTCTCCTGATGCTACTCCCGCCCACGACCTCAAGTGTAAGACCTCGTGCATCTGGGCCCCGCAGGACCTGGGGGTATGAATACCAGAGAGCAGCTTATTCTCATCAGGGACTGAGAGAGGGCGGGGGTGGCTGGAGATGAAGGCAGCACGCAGAACAGAGGGAGGGGGGAAATGGAGGAGCCAAAGGCAGGGCAAAGAAGAGTCGCTGGGAAGGGCTCTCCACATGCCTCTCCAGCCCCCAGCCCCTCCTTGCTGCTGTCCCTTCTGTGGTCACAGTCACTGTGGGATGGAGAGTTCCTGTTCCCCGGCCACGACATTCAGACAGGGTCTGATGGAAGCTGGCAGCTGAGAGGTTTCTCACGTTTGAACGGCCAGGAACCATGTTCCTTCTCCATCCCACCCACCACCCCTGACTATCCCAGCCACTGAGATCTCATCCTGAGAGCCAGGGGCCATCACTGAGTCGCCACCAGCCTACAACCCCCTTTCTTAAGCTTAAAAAAAAAATTGCTAATTGATATATTACTGACAATCTGAGTCATCCTGTCCACGGGATCTTGCCAGCGTTCCCCCTGGCTGTGTACACAAGTACACCCCACTGTCACCCACTCGTCCCACCCTGTAGACACCAGCGCCAGCCATCTCAGCGTGCACGCTCCGTCCCGCCCCACACCCACAGCTTCAGAATTGAGGAAGGATTCGGGATTGGGCTCTGAGCACCGGAAGAATGAAAGCAGCACTGGGAGGGCTCCCGAGGAGTTTAGTGCCTGCGTGTGGGTGTGTGTGCCAGTGAGCCCCCGTGTCCTGTTGCTCTTGAGTGTGCATGCGGGTCTGTACACCTGCCTCTCTGGGACCCCACACCCAACCTCGTGCTCCCAGCAAACTAACCTATGCTCTGATATAGATGCTACCCCCTTTGATGTCGTGTCCTTGCACAGTCGACAACTCAGGTACCAGAGCAGACCCTTTGGCTCTATGGATACATGTCCCCGTTTTATGGGGGAAGAAGCAAAGGCTCAAAGGGGTTAAGTGTCTTGCCTAATTCACAAAAGCAATGACGGTAGGTCTGTCATCTCAAGAAAAGCAGCAGGGGTCTCAGCACCTCCCTTGTTCCCTCTTTCCAAACTGAGAGCGGCTCTGGAGTTCCAGAAGCTCCAGGGATGGAACGGATGAAGGTGACAGACTGTGAAGTCCGAGCCAGGGCAGGTGGAGCACCCCTGGGCAGACCCCATGGCCATGTGCCAAAACCCCGTGGACAAGCTGGCAGTGGAGAGGATGGATGGGGCAGGAGCTGTTATCCGTGGTCTGGGGTGATCTGGGGTGATGGGTGGGGTGCAGAGCTGCCTCCATGGGCAGGAAAAGTGGCAGCTCTGGGGAGCAGCAAGGGGAGGAGCTTGTTCCAATCATTTTGGTCTAAAAAGGCACTGCCTTCTGCTCAGCAATGACCAACACTAGAAGCCAGTTTCTAGAAGCACCACCACCACCACCACCAAGTATTGTCTGCAGAGCTGGAAATCAAAAGGGGACTCTGGACACAAGAGGTTTTTTGTAAAATTTAGCAGGACTAGCAGAAACCACAAAGACCCCTACTATGAGATCAGCACCCTTATTTCAAAGAAGAGGAATCTGAGGCCCGGACAGGGCAGGTAACTTGAGGCCAGCCCGCAAAGCCGCAGCAGAGTCAGAAATAGATGGCATGCCTCTAACTCAGAGCCAGATCGAGCCCTTTCCACCACTCCAGTGGGTCTTGTTTTCCATTCATATCTGTATCCTCTTACCCATTCAGAACCATTTCTGAGTTGTGTATTCCTATTGGAGGACACAAAGTTGGGGTGAGGGGGTCCTGGGGCCTGGGCTGCCAGGGTGCCAAGCCTCTCTAGATTTCTCGGCAATAATGCAGCCGGCCTCACCATGAGAATCAGGCAGCAAAGACACCCCGCCCCTCCATCACCCATTAATGAAACCGGCAAATTCCCCGGGATGGACGGAGTCTCTACAGCCAGGGCTGGGTTTGTGCTCCCAACATAGAATGCGAAGGCAGGAGACATCAGGGTTAATAAACAGCTTTATTGGCCTTCGATTTCCTTACATTCTCAATTAATTTGCCATTAAAGTGCGGGAAATTTTCTTAATCAAGGTAACATTTATTGAAAGAAATCAGAACTAGTATCAGGAATGTGGCGGCCATAAAGGAAACATTTCTCCCACAAGACACAGAACGGGAGCCCTTCTTGCTGAGCTTGGGGGGGTCGGCCAATTTGCAAACAGATTCTAATTCCGGCTCACCGTGAGCACCGAACTGGCTAGGACCGCCACCCCTGGGGGGAAAGAAAGCAATGCTAGAGAGATCTAAAAACACCCACCCCGCCTGCCACCTCCTCTCGGCCCTCTTTGGGTGTTTGCTGTTTGAATAGATCCAATCTTAGGAGAAACGGAGGTCTGGCCCCCTCTACTGCCTTCTACCCCACCCCACCCTTACTGACGAAAGCCCCCAAAGTCATTACAATGAAAAAGTGGGTTTCCATTGCCCCAACACTAACAATGTTCAGTAAAAATGAGGATAATAAACACAAAAGCTTGCTTAGTAAACAGGAGCTCTCAGCGTTCAATGCAAAAACAAAAAACAAAAACTGAAATCTCAAGGCAAATCCTGTTGGCTCTGCACACGGGCTGGACGAACCTGGAACCGGTCATTCCCATCGGTAGAGCTACGGGCCAGGAGCACAAAGGCGGCTGGCTGGCTTTTTTCTGCACTTGCCCCGGGCAGAGGCCAGATCTTCGCATTATGCTGAGGCTGTCGGTGTGTTTCTCTTTGCAGTTTATATACAAACACACCCAAGGCTGATGAATTTTTACACATATATGTACACACACGAGGCCTGCTACTCTTTCTTGGAAACCACCAGCTCCACCTCGGGAAGCTGGATGCCAACCTTAGTCCCACTGTCATTGCTGGAAGAGGAGGACAGTCGGGACTTCTTAGAGGCCAAGGACACTCCACTCCCTTGCAACTTGCCTGTCTCGTCATCGCTCCCGGTCACCTCATAATGACCTTTGCTCTTTGACCCCAAGCCACCGAAGGTACCAAACTTCAGCTTTCCGTGTTTCCCTTTGACTTCCCCACCTTCAAACTCCAAGGTCCCGGTTGGGGTGGAAGGCGCCGAGAGCTCCCTTTCGTCACTGAAGGAATTGGAGCGGTGCCGGGGCTTCTTACTTTTAAATAAGGAGAACTTGCCTTTGGGGGATGACGTCTCGGCCTCGGCATCTCCTTCCAGGGAACCGAGGCTGGCCTTCGAGCTCTTCAGGTCGCCTTTGGACCCTGAAATGGACGCTTCCGGGGAGCCGGCGACACCACCTTTCGCTTTAGGTTTGGAAAAATTGAACTTGGGCATTTTGATTTTGGACTTTTTAAGTTTCACGTCGGACTCTTCCCACTCGCCCTCTCCGGCTCCAGCCTGGGCAGTGGCCTCCACTTTAGGGAAGTTAATATCCACCCCGACTTCTCTGCCAATCAGCTCACGGCCAGAGAACGTGAATTTGGGGATCTTCATCTTGGGGAATGTTACTTTTCCAGATCTGCTTTCCAAGTGACCTGGAAACCCAGACACACTCAGCCCAGGACCCTGGAGTCCAACCTGGCCTCCTTTCACACCTCCTTCTACCTTTGGTCCTGAGAAATGAAGTCCCCCAGCAAACTTCGGTGCATCCAAGTTGAGAGCAGAGGTGGCCTGGGGTCCTTTGACACTCACGTGCCCTTCGCCCAGGCTGACAGCTGGGGTGCCAACACCCCCGGAAACATCCACACCTCCTTTGATTTTCGGGCCCTTCAAGCTGACACCGAAATCTGACTCAGGGGAGGCCACGTTAAGGGAAGGCCCCTTGATGCTAATGTCGGGAGCAGCCCCGTGGAAACCTATTCCCGAACCTTTCAGATCGCCTTTGATTTCAGGACCAGAAATTTGCCCCGTTGGGAGTTTCACATTCGCACCTGGCAGCTCTACATCACATCCAGAGGACTTGATTCCAGGCATCTGGAGGTTTCCTCCGAGGCCTTCAACGCTGACGCCTAGAAGACCTCCTCCAACAGTGGGGCCTTTCATCTCACCAGTGGCCCCAAGGCTCCCTTTTATTTTTGGTCCTTCCAAGTTCAAGTCCATGTCTGGTGCTGAGATTTGAGGGCCAGAGATCTGAGGCCCTTTCAGGCTCAGGCCCCCGAGGTTCACATCCATACCTGGTGCCTGTAGTTCTCCAGTCACTTGTGGCCCTTTGACGTTCACGTCCATGTCGGACCCCGGAGTCGAGATGCCAAACTGAGGCAGCTTCATTTTGGGAAGTTTAATGCCACCTTCGGGGGCCTCCAAACTTAGATCAGGAGCACCTACTGATACTTTAGGGCATTTGATGTCACCAGACACAGCCAGGTCCCCCTGCAGGCTTGGTCCCTTCAGGGTCACGTCTGGGGCACCAAGATTTAACGTGGCATCGATCCCAGGCACTTTCACACCATCTCCTTCCATCCTCACCTTTCCACCTTGACCTCTGAGGTCAAGCCCTGGGGCATGTACCTTCACACCAGGAACAGAAGCATCCAGGTCTCCCTTCAAACTTGGTCCTTTCAAGTTCAGGTCAACATCAGGTCCAGAGATTTTTGGCATAGAGAGGGTCACCGAAGGCAAGTCTAGTCTTGGCCCCTTCAGAGACACATCCGGCCCTTCTAGCTTCACATCGGGTGTGCTCAAGCCTCCTTCGAGAGAGGGCAGCTGGGCATGGACCTCCGCTCCTCCCCCTTCCATCTTCACACCAGGGACGCCGATCTTGGGCACTGAAAACTTGGGGAACTTGATCTTTGATTCTGGACCTTGCAGATCTATGTCTGGTCCTTCCAGTCCCACACTTGGGACATCACCCTTTACCTTTGGTCCTTTCAAGCTAACGTTCACATCGGGGATGGAGACCTGAGGGCCAGAAATGCCGAAGGACGGTGCTTTGACTTTGGCATCTGGGACTTCAATGTTGATGTCAGGTGCGTCCAAGTTGGCCTGCACCCTGGGGCCCTTCAAGTCACCCTCTAGTTTTCCTGAGACATCCATGCCTGGCAGCTTGAACTTGGGAGCCTTCACCTTGATGTCGGGACCTTCGACATGAATTCCTGGCGAAGAAATGTCTACATCAGGTGCCTGTATTTCACCCTCCAGTTTGGGGCTTGGGAGAGGGGCCTCAGCTTTAAATTTAGGTGATTTAATGTCAAATTCTACATCTGGGAAGTACATTTTCCCGAACATAGGTTTCTTGGTTTTGGGGGATTTCACATCACCTTTAAGTGTGGCATCTGGCACAGCAACGTTGACATCTACCTCGGGCACCTTGAGACTGGCATCAATTTCGCCCCCGGGAACATTCAAGTCAAATCCCTGTTTTTTGGCCTTCATTTTAGGGCCACTCATGTGAATTTTGGGCATTTTAAATTTACTCTTCTTGCCCTTGCCACCAACACTAATTTCAGGAGTCTCAATATTCATCTCTGCCTCGGGAACAGTCACATCCAGAGAAGGTGATTTGATGTCAGCTTTAGGGCTTTTTGCCCCAAAACCAAACTTGGGTTTCTTGAATTTGGGAATTTTAATGTCTGGCCCCTCGACAGTAATATCTGGGCTCTCCGTGTGTACATCCAAGTTTGGAGCTTCTAAATCAACTTTGGGCCCTTTGAGGTCCAGTTCAGCACCTTCCAACTTGGGACCAGAAATCCCAATTTTGGGTGCCTTGAAATGCAAATCAACATCAGGAACAGTTACTTTAGGGGCAGATATATCCAGCGATGGCATCTTCAAATGTGGGCCACTAAGCTTGGCATCTGGGCCTTCAAAATCCAGACCTGAACCTTTAAGGTCTACTTCTGGGCCTTTGAAACTACCTTCGATCTTAGGGACCGACACATCAAAATCTCCTTTGACTTTGGATCCTTTCAAATCCAGGTCAACATCAGGCATGGAGATTTTGGGAGCTTTGATATTTATCTCTGGCATCTTGAACTTAGGGCCCTTCAGTTTCGCATCTGGACATTCGATATTCACATCCGGGGCATCAATGTCCACTTTGGGGCCAGAAACGTCAATGTCAGCCTTGGGAAGGTTCACATCCACTTCTGGGCCTTCTCCCTTGAAGCCAGGCATGCTGAACTTGGGCATTTTCACCTTGGGCATCTTCAGGTGCCAGTCTGGACCATGAACGTCCACATCAGGGGCATCGATGTCCACTTTGGGCCCTTTGATGTCGATTTCAGGGCCCTTGACGTCACCTTCCACTTTAGGCAAAGACACATCCACATCACCCTTTACCTTGGGACCTTTCAGGTTTAAGTCAATATCAGGCATGGAGATCTTAGGAGCTTTGATGTTCATCTCAGGCATCTTGAACTTGGGGCCCTTCAGTTTTGCATCTGGACCTTCAATATTGACATCTGGAACATCAATGTCCACCTTGGGTCCTGAGATGTCAATGTCAGCCTTGGGCAGGTTCACATCCACTTCTGGGCCCTCACCTTTGAAGCCTGGCATGCTGAACTTGGGCATTTTCACCTTGGGCATCTTCAGGTGCCAGTCTGGGCCATGGACATCCACATCTGGGACATCAATGTCCACTTTGGGGCCCTTGATATCAATGTCAGGGCCCTTGAGGTCACCTTCAACTTTGGGCAGAGACACATCCACATCACCCTTTACCTTGGGACCCTTCAGATTCAGGTCCACTTCAGGCATGGAGATCTTGGGTGCCTTGAGGTGCAGGTCAGGCATTTTAAACTTGGGACCCTTGAGTTTCCCTTCTGGGCCGTGAATGTCAACATCAGGAGTGTCTATGTCTACCTTGGGTCCTGAGATGTCAATGTCAGCTTTGGGCAGGTTCACATCCACATCTGGGCCCTCGCCTTTGAAGCCTGGCATGCTGAACTTGGGCATTTTCACCTTGGGCATCTTCAGGTGCCAGTCTGGACCATGAACGTCCACATCTGGGACATCAACATCCACCTTGGGGCCTTTGATGTCAACTTCAGGGGCCTTTAGGTCACCTTCCACCGTAGGTAGAGAAACATCCACATCTCCTTTCATCTTAGGACCTTTCAGATGCAAATCAAAGTCAGGCATGGAGATCTTGGGAGCTTTGATGTTCATCTCTGGCATCTTGAACTTGGGGCCCTTCAGTTTTGCATCTGGACCTTCGATATTGACATCTGGAGCATCAATGTCCACCTTGGGTCCTGAGACATCAATGTCAGCCTTGGGCAGGTTCACATCCACTTCCGGGCCTTCTCCTTTGAACCCTGGCATGCTGATCTTGGGCATTTTTATCTTGGGCATCTTCAGGTGCCAGTCTGGGCCATGCACATCCACATCTGGGGCATCAATGTCCACTTTGGGGCCCTTGATGTCAACATCAGGAACTTTAATCTCACCTTCCACTTTTGGCAAAGACACATCCACATCACCCTTCACTTTAGGGCCCTTCAGGTTAAGATCAATGTCTGGCATGGAGATCTTGGGGGCTTTGATGTTCATCTCAGGCATCTTGAACTTGGGACCTTTCAACTTTCCCTCAGGACCCTCAATGTTAACATCAGGGCCTTCAATGTCCACCTTGGGTCCTGAGACATCAATATCAGCCTTGGGTAGGTTCACATCCACTTCTGGGCCCTCTCCTTTGAAGCCTGGCATGCTGAACTTGGGCATTTTCATCTTGGGCATCTTCAGGTGCCAGTCTGGGCCCTGAACATCAACATCTGGAACATCAATGTCCACTTTGGGGGCCTTTAGGTCACCTTCCACCTTAGGCAAGGAAATGTCCACATCTCCTTTGACCTTAGGACCTTTCAAGTGTAAATCTACATCTGGCATGGAGATCTTGGGAGCTTTGATGTTCATTTCCGGCATCTTAAATTTAGGCCCCTTGATTTTTCCCTCTGGACTCTCGATGCTCATCTCTGGGACTTCAATGTCAACTTTGGGTCCTGAGACACCAATGTCAGCCTTGGGAAGATTCACATCTACCTCTGGACCCTCTGCTTTGAAACCAGGAACGCTGAACTTGGGCATTTTCATTTTGGGCATCTTCAGGTGCCAATCTGGGCCATGAACATCAGGAGCATTTATGTCTACTTTGGGGCCCTTGATGTTCACATCTGGTACTTTAATTTTACCTTCTACCTCAGGCACAGACACATCAACATCCCCCTTGATTTTTGGTCCTTTCAAATTTAGGTCCACGTCAGGCATAGAAATATTTGGGGCTTTGAAATGCATGTCAGGCATCTTGAACTTAGGACCTTTCAATTTTCCCTCTGGTCCTTCAATGTTAATATCTGGCCCACTGATGTCACCTTTGAGGTCTGGCCCTTTGAGGTCACCTTCCAATTTGGGAACATCAACATCCACCTCTCCCTTTATCTTGGGACTTTTTAAGTGTAGATCAATGTCTGGCATGGAGATTTTGGGAGCTTTAAAGTGCATGTCTGGCATCTTAAATTTAGGACTTTTCCATTTGCCATCTGGACCTTCCACAGCTACGTCTGGCATGTCAACATCCAATTTGGGGCCTTTGACATCCACTTCCGGACCCTTTAACTCTCCCTCCAGCTTTGGGGCAGAAACGTCAAAGTCTCCTTTGATTTTAGGCCCTTTTAAGTTGAAATCAACATCAGGCATGGAGATCTTAGGGGCATGAAAGTGCATTTCAGGCATCTTGAACTTAGGGCCTTTCAGTTTTCCTTCTGGACCCTCAATGTTCATATCTGGCGCTTCAATGTCCACCTTAGGTCCAGAAATGTCAATGTCAGCCTTGGGCAGGTTCACATCCACATCTGGGCCCTCACCTTTAAAGCCGGGCATACTGAACTTGGGCATTTTCATCTTGGGCATCTTCAGGTGCCACTCTGGGCCATGAACATCCACATCTGGAGCATCAATGTCTACTTTGGGGCCTTTAATGTCCACATCTGGCACTTTCATTTCACCTTCTATCCTGGGCACAGACACATCCACATCCCCTTTGACTTTGGGGCCTTTCAAGTGTAAGTCCACATCAGGCATGGAGATCTTGGGGGTCTTGAAGTGCATGTCTGGCATCTTAAACTTAGGGCCTTTCAACTTTGCATCAGGACATTCCAGTTCAACATCAGGCATCTCCACATCCACACTGGGGCCTTTCAAATCTCCTTCCAATTTTGACACAGACACATCCACATCTCCCTTTAGTTTTGGTCCCTTAAGATTCAAGTTCACATCAGGCATGGAGATCTTGGGAGCCTTGAAGTGCATCTCAGGCATCTTGAACTTGGGGCCTTTCAGCTTTCCTTCCGGTCCTTCAATGTTAACATCAGGGGCTTCAATGTCCACTTTGGGTCCAGAGATATCAATGTCAGCCTTGGGCAGGTTCACATCCACATCTGGGCCCTCGCCTTTGAAGCCAGGCATGCTGAACTTGGGCATTTTCATTTTGGGCATCTTCAGGTGCCAGTCTGGGCCATGAACATCCACATCTGGGACATCGACATCCAGTTTGGGTCCTTTGATGTCCACATCTGGCACTTTCATTTCACCTTCTATCTTGGGCACAGACACGTCCACATCCCCCTTCACCTTAGGACCTTTCAAGTGTAAGTCCACGTCAGGCATGGAGATCTTGGGGGTCTTGAAGTGCATCTCAGGCATCTTAAACTTAGGGCCTTTCAACTTGGCATCAGGACATTCCAGATCAACATCAGGCATCTCCACATCTACACTAGGACCTTTGATATCAACTTGTGGACCTCTCAGATCACCTTCTAGCTCAGGCACAGAAGCATCAATTTCTCCTTTCACTTTGGGACCCTTCAAATTCAAGTCCACATCCGGCATGGATATCTTAGGAGCTTTGATATTCAACTTAGGCATCTTAAATTTAGAGCCCTTTAATTTTCCTTCTGGTCCCTCTATATCCAAATCAGGAGCATCAATGTCCATTTTGGGGCCAGAAACATTAATGTCAGCCTTAGGCAGGTTCACATCCACTTCTGGGCCCTCACCTTTGAAGCCAGGCATGCTGAACTTGGGCATTTTCACTTTGGGCATCTTCAGGTGCCAGTCTGGGCCGTGGACATCCACATCTGGGACATCAATGTCTACTTTAGGCCCTTTGATGTCCACATCTGGCACTTTCATTTCACCTTCTATCTTGGGCATAGACACATCCACATCCCCTTTGACTTTGGGGCCTTTCAAGTGTAAGTCCACATCAGGCATGGAGATCTTAGGAGTCTTAAAGTGCATGTCTGGCATCTTAAACTTAGGACCTTTCAGTTTCCCTTCTGGACCCTCAATATCAATATCACCAACATCCACATCCATCTTTGGGGCCTTCATGTCAATTTCAGGACCTTTCAAGTCTCCTTCCACTTTGGGAAGGGAAACATCTACATCAGTTTTCAGTTTAGGAGCTTTTAGATTAAGTCCAACATCAGGCATAGAGATTTTCTGTGTCTGTATATTCATGCTTGGCATCTTAAATTTGGGACCTTTTAGCTTCCCCTCTGGACCTTCAACATTAACATCTGGAGCATCAATGTCCACCTTGGGACCTGAGACATCAATGTCAGCCTTTGGCAGGTTTATATCCACTTCTGGGCCCTCTCCTTTGAAGCCTGGCATGCTGAACTTGGGCATTTTCACTTTGGGCATCTTCAGGTGCCAGTCTGGGCCATGACCTCCCACATCTGGTGCATTAATGTCTACTTTGGGACTTTTGATGTCAACATCAGGAGCTTTTATCTCTCCTTCTACTTTTGGAATTGTAACATCATAATCTCCTTTCATTTTAGGACCTTTCAAATGCAAACCAACATCTGGCATGGATATCTTCTGAGACTTTATATTCATTTCTGGCATCTTAAATTTAGGACCTTTTATTTTTGCATCTGGACCATCAATATTCACATCTGGAACTTCAACATCCACCTTGGGCCCTGAGACATCAATGTTGGCCTTGGGCAGGTTCACATCCACTTCTGGGCCTTCTCCTTTGAAGCCAGGCATGCTGAACTTGGGCATTTTCACCTTGGGCATCTTCAAGTGCCAGTCTGGGCCTTGAACATCCACATCTGGAGCACTGATGTCAACTTTGGGCCCTTTAATGTCCACATCCGGCACCTTTATTTCACCTTCTACATCAGGCACAGACACATCCACATCTCCCTTTAGTTTTGGTCCCTTAAGATTCAAGTTCACATCAGGCATGGAGATCTTGGGAGCCTTGAAGTGCATCTCAGGCATCTTGAACTTGGGGCCTTTCAGCTTTCCTTCTGGTCCTTCAATGTTAACATCGGGGGCTTCAATGTCCACTTTGGGTCCAGAGATATCAATGTCAGCCTTGGGCAGGTTCACATCCACTTCTGGGCCCTCGCCTTTGAAGCCAGGCATGCTGAACTTGGGCATTTTCATTTTGGGCATCTTCAGGTGCCAGTCTGGGCCATGAACATCCACATCTGGGACATCGACATCCAGTTTGGGTCCTTTGATGTCCACATCTGGCACTTTCATTTCACCTTCTATCTTGGGCACAGACACATCCACATCCCCCTTCACCTTAGGACCTTTCAAGTGTAAGTCCACGTCAGGCATGGAGATCTTGGGGGTCTTGAAGTGCATCTCAGGCATCTTAAACTTGGGACCCGTCAGCTTCCCTTCTGGACCTTCAAGGCTCACGTCTGGGGCTTCAATGTCAACTTTAGGTCCAGAGATGTCAATGTCAGCCTTAGGCAGGTTCACATCCACATCTGGGCCCTCACCTTTCAAGCTGGGCATGCTGAACTTGGGCATTTTCATCTTGGGCATTTTCAGGCTCCAGTCTGCACCTTGGACTTCCACATCTGGTGCTTTAAGGTCTACCTTGGGTCCTTTGATGTCCACATCTGGAACTTTCATCTCACCTTCTATTTTCGGTGCTGACATATCTAGACTGCCTTTCACTTTGGGTCCTTTAAGATCCAAGTCAACATCTGGAAGAGTCATCTTAGGAGCCTTGAAGTGCATCTCAGGCATCTTAAACTTGGGGCCTTTCAACTTTCCTTCTGGTCCTTCAAGGCCCAAATCTGGAGCACTAATATCTACCTTGGGTGCAGAAATGTCCACATCAGCCTTTGTCAGGTTCACATCCACTTCTGGGCCCTCACCTTTGAGGCTGGGCATGGTGAATTTGGGCATTTTCATCTTGGGCATCTTTAGGTTCCATTCAGGACCATGAACTTCAACATCTGGGGCACCGATGTCTACTTTTGGCCCTTTGAGTTCCCCTTCCATCTTTGGCACCGTAATATCATATTCTCCCTTCACCTTGGGACCTTTCATATGCAAATCCACATCAGGCATAGAGATCTTAGGAGCCTTGATATTCATCTCTGGCATCTTAAACTTGGGACCCTTCAGCTTTCCTTCAGGTCCTTCAATGTTCACATCTGGAACTTCAACGTCCACTGTGGGTCCGGAGATGTCCATGTCAGCCTTGGGCAGGTTCACATCCACTTCTGGGCCCTCTGCTTTGAAGCCAGGCATGCTGAACTTGGGCATTTTCATTTTGGGCATCTTCAGGTGCCAGTCTGGGCCATGAACATCAACATCTGGAGCATTGATATCCACTTTGGCACTTTTAAGTTCAACATCAGGAACTTTAATCTCACCTTCCACTTTTGGCACTGTGACATCATATTCTCCCTTTACTTTAGGGCCTTTCAAATGTAAGTCCACATCTGGCATGGAGATCTTTGGGGCTTTGATATTCATCTCAGGCATCTTAAACTTAGGTCCTTTCAGTTTCCCTTCTGGTCCCTCAAGGCTCACATCTGGAGCACTAACATCTACCTTGTGCCCAGAAATGTCCACATCAACCTTGGGCAGGTTCACATCCACTTCTGGGCCCTCTGCTTTGAACCCTGGCACACTGAATTTTGGCATTTTCATCTTGGGCATCTTTAGGTGCCAGTCTGGGCCCTGAACATCCACATCTGGGGCATCAGTGTCCATTTGGGGGCCTTTCAGTTCCCCTTCAAGTTTTGGGACTGTTACATCATACTCTCCTTTTACCTTTGTGCCTTTAACATGCAAATCGACATCAGGTATGGAGATCTTTGGTGTCTTGACACTCACTTCAGGCAGCTTAATATCAGGGCCTTTAAGTTTGCCTCCCGGGCCCGCTATGTTGACATTTGGGGCCTCCACACTGACCTTGGGCCCTGGAATACTGACATCTCCTTTGGGTAGTTTCACATCTACATCTGGGCCTTCCCCTTCAACCCCTGGAGTGCTGAACTTGGGCATTTTCAGGTTCCAGTCTGGGCCATGAACTTCCACACCTGGGGCACTGACATCCACTTTGGGGCCTTTGACATCCACTTCAGGGACTTTGACTTTCCCTTCTACTTTGGGAAGCGTGACATCTACACCCCCTTTCATTTTAGGGGCAGCCACATTTAGATCTACATCTGCCATAGAGATCCTGCACGTTCCTGCTTTTCCAGAAAGACTACCAAGCGTGGGTCCCGTCAGGGTCCCCTCAATGCTAGGTGTCTCTGTGTCCACTTTGGAGCCTTTAACTGCCACTTGAGGGCCTTTAATGTCACCTTGCACCCCAGGCACTGAAACCTTAATATCTCCCTTCACTTTAGGGGATCCAAGGCTCAGATCCACATCCTGCATGGAGATTTTAGGTTTCTGCATGATCATTTCAGGAGTCTTGACTTTCGTACCCTTCACCTTCCCTTCCAGCCCCCCAGCAGCAACCTCAGGCAGGCTGATGTCACCAGAGATCCCAGGAAGAGTCACTTCACCTGTGGGCAGTGTCACATCAATGCCAGTTCCCTCTCCCTTTGAACCTGACACAGAGAATTTGGGAACTTTCATCTTGGGCATATTCAGTTTGCCCCCAGGCCCGTGAAGATCAACATCAGGGGCTTGAACTTCCACACTGGAGCCAGTGACAGTGCCCTTGATTTTGGGACCTGAAATGTCCACCCCTATGCTCCCCTGTGGCTTGGCGCCTTTCAGGCCTAGGTCACTCTCAAGAGATGGCCCAGTGATTTGGGGTCCCTTCAGCTTCCCCTCAAGCCCCTCAATATTGGCAGAAGGAGCACTGACTTCTAGCTGAGGGGCCTGGATGTTCCCACCAATGGTCAGGCCAGGCTTGCCACCCTTGTGTCCCACAGAGAACTCGGGTACAGAAACGCTCAACCCTGCTCCTGGGGCCTGGCCCTCAGGCGCTGTCAAGACACCGAATTTTGGCACCTTCATAGTGGGAATTTTAATTTTCCCATTAGCGCCACTATCCAGAGATGGGTCCTGTACCTCCACTGCCCCACCCCCAAGAGAAGACGAAATATCTGCTCCTGGAACTTGGACCCCTCCTTTGCCACCCAAGTCCAAGCCCTTCGCACTGACACTGACGCCTGGGCTCCCCACCTTTATCCCAGGCACGGTGACCTGGAGCTTCGAGTGGCCAGCACCTTGGAGCTCTGGTCCCGAAGCAGAAACAGACCCCGCTTGGATGTCCACAACAGAGCCCGTGGTAGGAGATGCTGCCCCCGAGCCCGAGGGCAGTCTGATCACTGTCTTGCCAGGCTGGGTGTCCACATCCACAGCGGAAATTTCAGTCAGTTTGTGCCGGGGAATCTTGATCTTGAACTCTGGGCTGCTGATATCGATCTCCCTGGCTCCTTCGTGGCCTGTCACATCAACAGTGTAGGCCGTGACCCTTCTCGTCACGGTGATGGTGCGGCTCTGGGTTTCCCCAGGTTCCCCTTCTAGTCCGTCCTCCGACCTCAGCCGAGGCTTGATCTTCGTGGTGTAGATGCGCTGATAGTCCTCGTCATCCCCGCTCTGCAGAAAGACACGGCCGGGAGACGTTGCAGCAGGATCTGCCTGACCACGGACGCCCGGCCACAGCCCAGCCAACAACATGGTTGCCTGTTTACCACAGAAGCTGGGACCAGAACGGAGGCCCACAGAGCCTCCTGGGGCAGAGCATGGAGGGGTGAGGAAAGGGGCTGACAGCCACATCACAGGAGGGAAACAAATTATTTGGGGAAACTCTGGGAAGCAAAAGCTATGGGGGAGAGAAGCAGGGTAGACTCTTGCCTTCTGGGGTCTGGAAGAAGGATTTATAATCAATCAATTCTAGATTCCAATCGGCTTGTCAAGTCCCAGGGATGCCTCCCAGCTCTGCATGGATTTGGCCCTTGGGCTCTCAATTCTCAACTCACGGGCTTGTATAACGGGGACAGGAATCCTCTCAGTGACCTGTCAGAAAGCGCTGGTGGAGACTTGCTGTGCTTGGATTAATACTTTCACTTTGAGGACCCATTATATGTTAAATAAACAAGCCATCAAGGAGCAAAGAAACGTCCCCCAGGCGCTTTGCTGCCCAGCCTCTGACTCACAGATGAGTCCAGGCCTCTGGAACGAGAAAAAGGCGTCTGGAAGGCAGAGCGGGGCACCTGTGAGACTGTTCTGATGATTCTTGCAAAGCAGCTGACTGTCCTCCTGGCCTCTAGGGCCAGACAGCGGGAGCGGGTTCCACGCTGCGGTACTCTGGACCCACTGACGGAAGGCTTTCAGGGTCAGCGTCAGCCACACGCTACACACGGATACAAGCACACGGTCTGGCTCAAGAGAGAGGCAGGGGAGAAGCAGGAGAGGGAACCGCAGGGAGGTCCCGCAGGCAGACATGAGGCTCAGGAAGTGGCCAGTAGGTCAGTGTGGCCCAGAAGCGGGTGGGGTGGGTGGTTTAGGGCACAGACAGGCCGGCCAGGCACTCACCAAAACCACCTCGGAGCTTTGGGAGCTGAAGACTTCGTGGGTCCAGGTCTGGCCAGGCTCAGGGGAGCGGTCCCCCTTGCGATGCAGCTTCAGGCCCACGGTGTGGTGTCCCATGGTGTTCAGCAGCTGGGTCACCTCGCCTGACTGCAGGTTGTCGAAGTAGATGGTGGCACCCACAATCTGGTCCCCTGAGCGGGGCGGAGCAAGAAGCAGGTGAGACCCACGGGGTCTCGGGAGAACAGCACACAACCACCACAGGCTGGGCCCTCGTGTAGGAGCTCAAACTCAGACTTGCATTTACTGCATGTCGTGACAAGCCTACAGGTGTGGTAATACCCATTGCACAGATGAGGAAAAGTAAGGCGTAGGGAGGCCCACTAATTCGCCCAAAGCGGCAGAGTTCTTGGGTAGTGGAGTGGGCACTAAGGATGATGTGTCCACCACCCTCCATAACCGCTGTCCCTCAGGACTGTGTGAATCAAGTGACACCAAGAGGGCAGGGGAGGAGAGGGTGGGGCCTGGGTACCGACCGTCCTGATGTCACTGGGACTGGCCCCTCCACAGACCCTGTGGCCTTCCCGCCGCCCCCCTCAGCCAAACCACCCCGGCACCCAGCCCGCACCCTGAGGTGACTCACCCTCCTTGACCACCCCCGTGCGGGCCGCAGGGGAGTTCCGCATCACCTCCTGCACAAAGACGCCGTCGTCCCTCTGGGCGATGGTCAGCCCGTGGGAGCCGCTGCCCTGCCAGTTGGGCAGCAGCAGCTCCCGGGTTGTGTCCTCTTCCTTCTCCATCTGGGGTAAGGTAAGGAAACAGGGGCTCAGGACAGTGGGGGATCAAGAGCATGAGGAGACAAGAAAGCCAAGGCTGGCCAGTGCTGTAAACCCCCGGGGGGCGACGCGGCCGTGCCCGCTTCTGCCGTGCAAGTGGTCCCCGTGGCAAGTGGACATAGGCTGCGACCGACCTCGGCAATAACCAGCCCCTCATCCCTTCCACGCGGGCCCCACTTCCCGATGCCACCCACCCTTGGTCCCACCCCCCCAACCCCTCCCCTCCGTCACACCCTCCCTCCCACGGACCTTTTGCAGGACTCAGCTCAGGAGCAGATGCCTTGCCAGGAGCCCGCCCCTCCTTCCTCTCTTCTTAGTCTCTCTCGTCGGGAATTTCGGTCACACAGTCTAGGGAGAAGGAGACAGAGATGCTCACGCTCAACCAGGGCCACACCGAAACCCCAACCTTCCCCTACTCCAACATCATTCGTTCATACATGACTCTCCAACCTGGGATCGTGGAGACGGGGCTCGGGGAGGCCAGACTCAGATATAAACCCTGGTCTCGAGCCTTGCTCTGGGGCCTCTGGGTGGCTCAGTCAGCGAAGCATCTGCCTTTGGCTCGGGTCGTGATCCCGGGGTCCTAGGTCGAGCCCTGTGTCGGGATCCCAGCTCAGCAGGGAGCCTGCTTCTGCCTCTGCTCTCGAGCCCTCTCTCCCTCTCGCTCTTAAATAAATAAACAAGATCTTAAAAAAATAAAAATAAAATAAACCCGGTTTCTGCACCCTCCCAGCTGTGTGTCCCTGGCCAAGTCACTCAACTTCTCCAAACATCATCTCCTCTGTGAAAATGGAAAGGATGCAGGATCTCCCGGAGGAGGGAAGGAGAGAGAGAGCTCGGGTATGAAAAAGCCCAGGTGCCCACAAGTTTCACAAAACACCCATTCTCAGTAGTTCTTTGTAACAGCTCCAGGGAGGAGACCATGTCCCCGTTTTATAGATGGAGAGACTGAGATGTTAGGTCTGCAATGAGCGTGCCACCACCCCTGGGCTCTGAGCCTGCAACTCTCTCCCCTGTAGCACATCAGGTCTGCAGCCTTAACCAGCGTCAGACTCCTCTTCACAGTGTCTCCAGCACTGGAGGCCTGAAAGCAGGAAGGTCAGTGCCCTCCCTCCCCTGCTGACAAACAGTGAGTCGGTCACCTGATCCAACACAGCCCTTAGGACCAGGGGGACCCTTGCCAGCTGGGAGCTCCAGGTGCAGCGGGCTGAACAAAAGAAGCCCCAACCCCCGCCCCCCCCCCAGAGCCAGCCCACGCCCCAGAGGCTCGAATGCAGCTGGGCCGCCTCGGGGACACGGTGAGTCAGAGCCCACCTGGCTGCCCACACAGCGCCCCGAGCCAGTCCCCATAGATGCGGTGCTCAGGAGCAAAGATGCCCTCTGGCCACAGGATGAGCTATCAGCTGCAGAGCTGCCCTGGGAAGACACAAGGCAGGACTCTGGAAGCAGCCCCGGCCTAAGGCCACCCACGCAGAACAGCAGGGCCGGAGTCATCCAGAAGCCGGTCTGTGAAACCAGGCCGGGAACGCTAAAGCTCAGGCAGGGCCTCGCCCAGAGCCCCACCCGGAAGCTGTTGACTTTCAGAATTTAGTCAAAGATGGATAAATACATGCACGCTGATGGCCTCCTGCACAGCCAGCACCGGAGCAGACGCAGCAGAGAAAACAGGCAAGGGATGGACTCCGCTTAGCCCAGCCCTGCGCCTGCTGCGTTAGACAGTCACGAGCTTCACCTGCAGGTTCTCTCAGCGCTCACTGCGCACCAAGTGCCCGATGCGGAGATTTAAAAGACTTCGCTCCTGCTCTGGATATAAATTATGAGCAAGGTGCTCTGGGTGTGACCCATTTAGCCTCAGAATGTTCTAGAAGGTCGGGGAGACTCCTGGGGGGGGGTGAAATATAGAAGGAAAGAACGGGGCAAAGAGAACCTATTATCTGCCAATTCTCTTGAAGGCATTAGAGTTTGTTTGCCTCTGAGGACAGGACTGGATCCCCCAGAAATTCATGGGTGCGTCGTGGGTGCGTCGCAGCTCTGGTGTCAGGCTGATCACACAGCACGGGCGAAGACAGCAGCTGGACCCCCAGTCCTCCACCCTCTGAACTCACACATGCAGAATTTAGGACACGGGCGCTGCCTAGGAGGCGAGCAGAGCCACAGAGGGTGAGCGGCCTATCGGCACATGGGTGAGCTAGGGAATCGCCTCTTCCCCTCCAGGCCAGCAGCTGCTAGGGGACCCCAGCAAACAGCAAAGCCATGACTTTAAGGCACCTGCCCCCAGCGTCCAGCACCAAGTAGCCAGCCCTGCAGACAGGGAGCCAGGCAGGGCAGGGAAGGAAAGGCTTCCAGCCCGAGGGCTTCTCAGCTCTCTGAAGCCACCAGCCAGCCTAGCTCCCCTCCTGGAGCAGGCCCCTTCTCTCGGCCCAGCATTCTGGTCCCCCGCCAGCAGGGGCGGAGACAGCGCGCCAGCTCACCCTCGCCCACAGCTCGTCCCCACCCTCCCTCCTTCCCAGTGAGTCACGGAGGCTGCAGCAGCTCCAGACATGCAAAGGGTCACGCCTAAAATCCCATGGACAAAGTGCTTCCTTGGCCAGAGCCCCCAGTGCCAGAGGGGCTGGGGCCCTTGTGGAGACAGGCAGTTGGCTTCCAGGCCCACTCCTGAGGTTGGAGCCCCAGGCCAGGAATCCCCAGGAGCACAGCTCAGAGGCTCAGGAGGGACTTGCTATGCACCTCTAGCCAACAGCTCAGAAGGAGGGGAGAAGGGGCACCTGGGTGGCTCAGTGGGTTAAAGCCTCTGCCTTCAGCTCAGGTTATGATCCCAGGGTTGTGGGATGGAGACCCGCATCGGGCTCTCTGCTCAGCAAGGAGCCTGCCTCCCCCACTCTCTCTGCCTGCCTCTCTGCCTACTTGTGATCTCTGTCTGTCAAATAAATAAATAAAATATTTTTAAAAAAAGGGGGGGGTGGGGAGGGAGAAAGCCATCATGAGTGGTGAAGGGTCCATAGCCCCTGAGAATATGAGCCATGGGACCGGGGGCTGCAGGTTGGCCCCGACAGGGCACCCGCTGGCTTCCTGGCCAGGAGGGGCTGCAACCACCCTGCAAGCCCTGGCCCAGGGCTCTGAGCAACTTCCCTTCCCTCCCCTCTGCTCTGGGCCATTCAGGTGGCTGCACACAGGGGTGCTAGGGGGAGTTAGGTGCGAGACCAGGATAGGAAGGGTCTGTTTTCTGCACCTGAGTCCCAGTGCTCAGTCTCTCCCACATCTTCAGAGCCTGTACCAAGCCCAGACGGACCGTTCTTCTCCTACATAAGTCAGGTGATGCCAGGCTTCCCCGAGGACCGAGGATCCTGCCCTGTGGCTACCCAAAAAAGGGTCTGTGGAACTCTGGGGAATTCTGCATATTTGGCCAAGTGTCGTAAGTCTTTGGAGCTAGAAGAACCTTGTAGCCCTGCTGTTGACATGGTAGTTACATGTGGCTATTTAAATTTAAATTAAGTTAAAATGAATTGTTAGTTTATTGCTTGCAGTAGCCACATTTCAAGAGCTCACCAACCACAGGGCTACCCTATTAGACATGGCAGATGCGAACGTTTCTGCCACTGCAGAAAGCCTTGCGGGGACGGCACGGTCTGGTATTTACAGAAGAAGGGGAGGTCCAGAGAGGTGAGGACAGGACAGTGCCGGGGCCCCAGAACCCTGGTCTGCTGGCTCCCCACCCCGAGGTCCATCTGATACTGGCTCACAGTATCCTTGCTGATGGGAGGGACTGGAGTGGGGACCCTCTAAGCAGAGGGCTGCCTGGAGAGCAGAGGAAGTGCGAGATGGTATGTCCACTCCATCTGTGAGGCAGAGACTGGGGGGACACCAGAACTCAGGCTAGAAGCAGCGAGAGAAGAACAAGGCCATCCTGTCGATTCAAAACTGCAAAGAGGGGGCCCCTGGGTGGCTCAGTCAGTGAAGCCTCTGCCTTCAGCTCAGGTCTCGATCTCAGGGTCCTGGGATCGAGCCCCACATCAGGCTCCCTGCTTGCGGGGGGCGGGGGTCTGCTTCTCCCTCTCCCTCTGCCCCGCTCCCTGCTCCTGTACGCACGCTCTCTCTCTCAAATAAATACATATTTTAAAAAAAAACTGCATAAAGGACGTGCACCACCTCTGCGGACTGGGGAAGTGGGGGGGGGGGGGCAGGGGTGAAACGCGGGCAGATCCCGGAAGCAGACTCCTTGCCCAGGGCAGAGGGTCTAGGCCAAGGGTGGCATCTAAAGGAGCATCTTTCCCCCTCCCCTGCCCTTAGGGAACAGAGCCCCTTCCAACCCCAAGAGCCAGTATGAAGCCAGCCAGGGAGGGGGCCCAGCCTAATTGCCGCTGCAGCCAAAAATGGCCTACAGTGTCAAGATGGCAGGAACGTGCAGAGGCCCCACTGCTGGGCCTCCAGGCCTCTGTCCGCCAAACCTGAAGACGCACACCCGAGGGGCGCAAGTCTTAGCATATGCCCAGCATGACGGACACGGGAGGTGACGCTCCGTGAGAGACAGAAGTGCTCCCCCCACCGCGGGGAGGACACCGACAGCAATGGGACTTCTACCCAGGCCCAGGGGTGATCACACCCACCGGCTGCACAAGCCAGGGAGAAGCACCTCGTGAGCCAGGAAGAACGAAATGACTCACCCCCCAGGTAGAGACCTCCACCAGAGGGAAAGTCCCCAACCCTTCTAACAGGACGAGCGCAAAGGACAATCGAAGAAAAGGGAGACACACCCAGAGGGGTGTTCTACTCCCATGAACACCAGACAGCGAACAGGAAGAGAAAGCCCTTCAGGGAGAGAAAACCCTCAACAGACAGAAGCAGAGAATTTGGCCGAGCTCCTGCAGTTCCACGCCGGGGGTCTCACTGGACCCCAGACAACCCCACATGGTTAATAATTAATGTGCTTATTCTAGAGACGCAGCGACAGACCTCGAGCAGTAAGATGACTTGCCCAAGTGTGAACTGGGGTTGAGATGCGAGCCCAGGCTTCTCGGACTCTGCGATGCCAGAGCAAACAGTCTTTTCCTGGGTGGAGGAGTGCACACGGCAGGTACACGGAGGACAGAGACCTACAATGCAGGAACGCCAGAAAGACACCCACAGGGCGATGGAGGGACCTCCATGCACACCTAGAGGGAGACATGGTGGGAGGGAGCCTCAGGGACAGGGGCGTAAACCTGGAGAAAGGGAGGAGCTAAGATTCCCCTAGGGGACCCAGAGACTCCGGGAGCACCAGGAGACTCACCCAGAGAGCCGTGACGCCTTTCAAGGGCCACAAGCAGCAGGAGGGAGAGCAAGTACCCACCAGTCTCCTGTGCCCACACACC